ACTAATGAGAGAGAGAAATACAAGCATGTGGTCTGTGGTCGGTATGGACATGTGTGTCTTTTTTGGGCCCGATCCGTTGGACTGTTACCTCGGGACTATTTACATCGGCTGAAAGAGGACTTGGCTGTGTTCTGAGGCCTTTTTGGTCCTGGCTGGAGTTTTTGGTGAATTCTGATTTTTGCTAAATGGTCAACGGTGTGAGATCTTGTTGCTCTAATATGTCAGAATCCTGCTTTTGTGACCCGTTTAATGTTGGAATGGGGATTCTCAGAGGTCGTGGGGCCGAGCGGCCTGTGTTTTTTTGCCCGTTTTTTGGCATTCCCATTCATTTCCTATGGGACAGTTTTTCGCCTTTTTTCTCCATTTGTTCGAAAACCCCAGAAGCAATGAGAGAGAGAAATACCAGCATGCGTCCCGTGGTCGGTATGGACGCATGTGTCTTTTTTGGGCCTGATCCGTCGAACCATGCGGGACTAGTTGGGCGCCAAAGTTTGCGACGGAAATGGAAAAAATCTAAGTCGCCTCCTCTGCTGTCCTACAGCTGCAGGAGTTCAGAAGTCTGCTGCTCCTGCAGAGTGGAGTTACTGGAGGAGCCAGTACAACCAGCAGGGGGCAGCAGAGCCCCGAGCAGACAGGCTGACCTCTGACCTCTGAGTCTGTGAAATGGAAAAAACCCTTCTATCCCTTTAATCTGCTGTTAGAATCAGTGAAAAACTCCAGACTGTAAAGATCAAAGACATTTATTTATGACTGGCTCCATGAATCAAATAAAATTAATGAACATTTATCTCAATGTTTTCATATTTGACACATTTCCTCACATTTAAAATGTATAGTAGCTCAAAATGATAGCAAAAGCGGGTTTGTGCATCTAAAGCGTTAAAAATGAAGCTGTAACTGAAATGTTTCATAAGATTTATGTCAGAGAATGACAGAGAAACACAGCAAACACATGAAATGATGTAAAAAGTGTGAGTGGAGGTCGGGTGAGCGGCTGCTGGCCTCAGACCGGCTCCAGCTTCAGCGCCGGGGTTTCGACGCCTTCAGGGAAGAGTAGAGCACATCTGGCTCAGCTGGAGCCTCTGGAAACAGACACACAGGTCACATAGCGGGAAAAAGGCAGGAGGTGCAGTTTCTGGGACTTCCAGCCCATCGGGGGACGTTTTCAGCTCCTATAAGCTTCTCTCCCCCCCGGCCCCCCCCCGTGATGTTACCTGTGCTCTGCGTGATAGTTTGTTGGTGGTGAGCTGAAATCTGACGACACTAAACGTGATTAAATCTTCATCGTCATCTTCGTCAGCTGAAAAACAAACAAAAAGAAATTATAATCAAAATTAATTTATAATAATTCAAAATAAAATACGAACTGAAGATACAAAAGCACAATACATAAAATCTGAGAATTAAGAAACACTGAAGCCAGCACAGTCTCACCTTCAGGTTTCCTTTGGACACGTCTTCTCCAGAGCAGAACCAGAACCAGGACCAGCAGAAAAACAGCAGAACTCACACAAACGGCCAACAACCAGTCAGGAGGAGTCCAAGCTCCAGGAGGAGGGGCGGATGTAGTGGTGGAGGTGGTGGTGGTGGGGGGTTTCTCTAAATATGAACCAAATATGATGAAATTATTTTCATGTTTTAGATCCTGAAAAACAGTCAGAGATCAGGGGGGGCGTGCTGTACAGCTCAGAGTGAGGTTCCCCCCCTCCATCACAGGGAGGACAGGACTCTGCAGGATCACTGGTCCACCTCAACACAGAGACAGACTACAGCACTTCATCCATTTCCACACAGCTTCATCAGCACTAACTCCACAGTCTGATCTTACCAGAGACAGTGAGGGGGGTGCTGGGACCGGCCGCCCCCCCGCCGAACTCACACCAGTAAACACCGCTGTCTAATGGGTACAGATGGCTGATCTTACAGACAGAACCGGTCAGTCTCCCCCAGTCTGCTCCACACTGGGTCCTGGTTCCTCTGCTGGTGTTCCTCCTCACAGTCCATCCAGCAGAGCTGCCGTCC